CACACACACACACACACACACACACACACATGTAGGATACTCATAAACAAAAACAGACACATACGATGGCACCACAGCGGCGGCACAGAGGAACATATGTCATGTAATAAATAACAGTGTCCACATTAACCCCTGGGGGGCCTGAGTCCATGTGTGCTTCAGTCACTGTGCATGTGCATTATGTATGTTGTAGAGGCCTGTAAGAGCAAGTCTTCCTATGTATGTTTTGTCCTATGTACCCTCAGTGTCAATAGTGTCACAGCCTTATTAGTTCACTGGCACCAAACCGCTTAGGGTGAATGTGGGGGAAAGGTATTGGGTCCTGATGGGTTTATTTTGCCTGTTTCCTTTGTGTACCTCCAAGACCAAGCTGTTCTGCTGCATTCCAATTCATACATATATTGTGTCAAGCAGTCACATTGCTAAATGTGCGTGTGTGTGTGTGTGTGTGTGTGTGTGTGTGTGTGTGAGAGAGACAAAGAGAGAGAGAGAGAGAGATGCTTCCGCTGTGTCATCACTATGCAGTTCAACAGACACCTGGGGACACACAGAAATGCTTGCACTTGATTATGCCTGTATACACACAGAGGCAGTTGAACTGTAGCGATGAGGGTTTGTTGTTAACTGGACCGTAACTCCTGTAACAGAGCACTCCTCCATTTTCAGCAGGACTGATTCAAAACCAGCACATTACTGGTATATGAACATATAATGATTTTAATGAATTTTGTTTGAATTAATGCATTTTAATTGAACTGTCTCACCATTTTTAAAAGATAGATTAAAAACATTTCCAAATGTGTCTCACTCCCATAACATGACTTACACGACTGAAGCAGATATGATAGTCAGAATTTAGCTTCTAGCAGTTGTCAGACAGTGAATGTTCATGTGTTTTGGGAGTGTGGCTTTGATGAGAGGGCTGATGGGAGAGGTTGGGATGTGTTGGTTGTGTTATTGTTGACGCCTGCTCTGGCTGCTTTGCAGGGTTATCAACCAAGTTCAGCTCAGGAATGTGATGTGACTGATTGCTTCACTGATAGCACCCCATTTCAACACATCTAATCTGTTTTAGAACTTTTACATATTATAACTGATGTTGTATGGATGATTAATATTAAATAGCTGATTTGGCAATAATAAACATTTAAAAGCATGATCTATTATCTTTTTAAGTTTACACAAAAGTGAAAAAACATTGTGGGTTTAAGCTTTAAATGTGAGTGACTGTCACAATATAACTGTAATATACCTAGTTATTTAACTGATTGATCAAACTCAAGTGAATGGAAAATAATTCCAACACTCGATTGAAGAAGACCTCTACAACAACTTCACCTAAAACATGGTGTTTGGTCACATACTAGTTGGCAGCATTTGTCAGCTATGAAGTATCCTGTCTGGAGCAAGAAGTAGATGTATGAGTTTTGAAAGAGACAACTACCACAAATCCACAGAGTCCCAAGCATCTGTGGCTGATCTGCAGGTCCATCAGTCAACAAAACTACAAACCTGTCAAGGTGAGCAGTCTGAAAAATGAAACCTATTCTCCAGGAACATTCCTGTTATATTGTCTACCTGAAGTCGATCGACCCTCAGACCAACATATCACTGAAAACCTTATAATTGGACCGTTCTAAAGGAGGAAGCCTTGAGAGTGACAGATCTGGTGTTCAGTGCACAGCAGGTCAGTACTCTCTCAGCACCAACAAGTATCATGCCACTGACCCACATTTTTCACTCATACTCTCACTTGATTGGCTGGCTAATTGATTGGCTGTCAGGGTGACTGATGGAGTCGTCTCTGTTATCCAGCATATCCAAGGTTCCATGCTGATACAACACCCAAAAGCTCTCCAATCAGCATTTTTCAGTGAACCCAGGGAGCAGGAGAGCGATGTGTTCATCTATCATTCTAATATTAACTGGTACAGCTCCCCAGAGTTTCACAGTTGACCCCGTTCAAAGCGTCTTTAAGTGAAACTGTACTGTCCCCACACACGATTGATGTGTGAGCTGCTCTGACCTTGTCATGTAGGCTAATGGAACTATGTAATAACCCGAGTGACTATTACATGGTTTATTTCACGATGGTTGAACTGAATTATATTTGATGTGCACCATCAGAGAATGGATGAATGAGCTGTTGTGAGAAAACAGCAAGAGATTGTTCACAGGATTCACCGCCAGCAAGTGGGCATGTTGATGACGTTTCTAATACATACACACAAAAAAATTACAAATTCAGTATCTCAGGATTGAAATAGTCTGGACCCAGGGCTACAGACACTCTACAGAGTTTATGTCTGGAAATGGCTGCACAGACATTGGGCCATGTGCTGCTCACAAAGGGAGGAGAACAATGATTCAGAAGGTAGGCACTCTGAGTTAAAAGAGGGGAAAAACAGAGCTCCAAGAATTTTTAGTTTTTGTTTCTTTCTGATCCTTGTTTCTATTGTCTTTTAGGAGTATTACGGTATAAGGCGGGTACTGTAGGCGCGTGGCTGGCTGGCTGGGCGTGTTCTCTCTCTCTCTCTCTCTGTGTGTGTGTGTGTGTGTGTGTGTGTGTGTGTGTGTGTGTGTGTGTGTGTGTGTGTGTGTGTGTGTGTGTGTTATCCATCCTGTCGGGCTCCTGGCCACTCCTGCTGTGTTCAGCACAGCGCCGGAGGGACGCAGACAAACAGAGAGGGACGGTGAAGCGGAGCTGCCGTTGCGCACGATACAAACCCTCCGTGACTCCAGACGGGTGCCGGTGTTCTCCCTCCGGTTCGGTTGGATGTACTGTTCGGGGCGGCTGCTGCAGCTACATGGAGGTAGAATAGAGACTCTGCATCAGGAAGGTCAGGAGCGGAGGATTGAGTCCGCGGACGCGGGGAGGCACGGGCACCCTGACCGAATACCGGGACCCCACCCGCGGCGCTGGAGCTCCCGGACCGTGACAGCTGTCAGCCAGGTAACATCCGTGGAGAGCCGGAGCGTGTCTGCGGTAGTTTATTGTGATCCTCCGTGTTTTTTCTACGTGAAGCTGCATTATACTGCCACTTTCCTAATTTCACTAGATCATCAATATGTCCTGCTGTGATCGCGATGAAGTCACAAAAGGAAGCTCTTCTGAAGTTTCATTTGTAGAAAATTATTTTGAATTTTAATTGATTACAGAGTTATTTAGTTGAGCTGTGCTACCACTATTATTCATAATCTGTTATTAGTCCAAAGGTTTTTACGAGTGAATAATGCCTTAACCACTCAGTCTTGAATTGGTTATTTGACAGATTGATTCTGATTAGTAAATATATGAGCAAACATCTTCATCTTAATTTGAGGAAACTGGTGCCATCTTTCTGACCCACACATCATTGCTCGTTTTATGAATTTCTGTGAATTCTAAATAGTTGAGAAGGGGAATATCTTTAGATCTGGACATAAAAACAAACATGCATCAACTAGCTCTGAGAAATTGTTATAGGTATTATTGATATATAGTCTTTGATAACTAAGCACTTAATCGATTAATGGTGGAAATGTGTCCACATCAATTGGTCATGAAACAATATTAATCCAATGTCAATTGGATCATGATTTTTATGGGTTTCAATATGAGGTAATGTTTTCTTTCCTGTACTTTTATTTTAGAGCTTGCAGTTCGTTTCTCTCAGGTTACATTTTAGAGCTGCTAAAATGGAGAATTTTGTAAATGCTGTTGGACCTGTTTTAGTTTGAAAGTAGCAGATTTTCAGTCTGGACGGGCAGAAACGTTCTGAAACAACGGCATAGACACTCACACTTTCTTGTTTGGTCACAACGTAACCTTCACTGATTTGTTAGGCTTGCATCACATGACCACCTTCAGGAAGAACACAACCAGTATTAGCATCATTAACCAGTGTAGAATTCAACATGCGTAATCAATTACACACGTTGCTGACCCTGTTGTCTCTGCTAACAGCTGTTGAACTGTTAAATTCTGCATTTTACAGTGATACAACTGCTTCCATTTATAGCAGACGAGCTATTATTTCAGTGATCTGCAACTATAAACCAGATGCTTCCTTCCTGTACACTGGCACACACATGCCCAGTGTGCGTGAGTGGTCAAGTGATATGTATTTTCAGGTGTGTTAGTGTGAACTGAAAACTGATACGCAGCCAAAATGCTTATGTGGACGTGATCATTTTAGTTTAAAAATAAAACATAGTGTTAATAATGTAGCCACAGGTCCAAAGTATGGTGTTCCACTAGTTTTAAAGCATGTCCATGCACATGATAACGATGTACAGAACATTATAAAGAAGCATCCATCCTTATGATGGATGAAATTAAATTGGAATATTTTGCAGACATCCAGAATGTTCATTCTGGATTTCAAAGCTTATAATTGCGGATATCTGACATATGAACATGAATGTTAAAAGTAATTTGTTCTTGGAAGGGTGAGGTTGTGGGTTATACTGTATATTTAGTCTAGTTATTTACACATTCACTCATACATTTGTTTTGTTTTTTTGGAAGTACATTCAAAGTTTTAGATATCCTGATATACAATTAAAACCTGTAGGAAAGTTATTGGACAACTTAACTCACCATAATGATTTGTGTGAATGCAGATGTGATTAGGAGAGAGGCTATCCTGTTATTCTTAATATCCAAAGTATGATAACTATTGGAGTGTGGTCTTGCTATAACCAGCAAAGGTCATGGTCAGTAATCAAAGTGAGCAGTGCAGCCAAAGAAGCAGAGACTTTAGTCACTGTTCTCACCTCCACAGTCTTAAAAGTCAACTTCATGAAATACTGTGGGCTAAGAACAAATTGAACAGTTGCGAGCACGTAGGTAGGGTGGAGCTTGCACTCATCACAGCTCTGTTCTCACAGGACTACATTTGTGCACAGGGAACAGAAATGCTCCTTTGAGAGAGAGTGTTCCGTGTGTTTGTTTTGAGACTGACGGAGCAACGTAACAAACATTCAGTCTTAAATCATTTTCTGTCGTCATTTACACATCATGTCTGTCGGTGTTACACAGATATCCTTAATGACTATGGGTCAACTTCAGATAGCAACCTCCCTTTGCCTTAGTAGTCTTGAGTGAACAACAACAGCACAGTATCATTGTGTGGTTGAGACATGATGCTTGTCTGTAGTGCAGAATTGTGAGTTTAATATCCAGTACTTGCTTTCCCTTTTGTAGTCCAACAGGACAAATTCTCAAATTGCCCCTGAAGAATATCACAGAGCAATGATTTCTTAAGAGGCTGGGGCTGACGATGGAGCCCTCATTTTAGTGCTGTTAATGAACCGCTGCTCTCTGTTATCTCAGCAGCCATAAAGAGATCCTGGTAATAACTGAGTGTGACAGAGTGGGGAGGACAGGAGGGTCAGGGTGGGGTGTGAGGGTATTCAGTGTGGACAATAATATGATAATAACTGTAATGGTATAGCACTTATCTAAAAAAATTACAAAGTGCTTCACAAAAAAAAATCCATGGCAAGAAGAAGAATAAATTATAATAAAAGGTATTCAATTCAGTACATTTTTTTGGGTCTCAGTTGTACGTTGGTGTCATCAAGTGTCTCAGCCTATTAATCACAATAACGTTGAAAGCCAAGTGGCCCGCTCAGTAGATCAGACGTCATTACCTCTGTGCCTTTTTTATTCTATTTATTTATTTTGTATTATTTATTTATTTTTTTGACAATATGTCTTGCACACTGTTACCGTTAGGACATAGTAATTAATGGCATATGAGGACAGTGCACACTAACCTAGTTATGTCTACAGTGAAGGTATTATGATTATAAAAAGATGCATTGTTTATGTGTGTGTGTGTGTGTGTGTGTGTGTGCGTGTGTGTGTGCGTGTGTGTATTCTGCCTGAAGCAAAGCACACATCATTTGCTGATTGATCAGTTGTCACAGTTATCTTATGTGTAATCTATAGTGCTAATGGTGCACACACCCACAACCACTGAAGTAGTCTAGTGTTCATGACAGCTCTGCCTCTCAAAGAAAATTCACCAGTGTATCCTGAATAATGTACATTCTCTTACATTATATATATTCTTGCATGTGTGTTTGTGTGTGTATGCGTGCATGTTTGTGTGTGTGTGTGTGTGTGTGTGTGTGTGTGTGTGTGTGTGTGTGTGTGTGTGTGTGTTCTAGTTGAATGAGGAAAGAGGGAATTCCAGTAGGAATGGATGAAGGAGATGATGGAGGGTGAAGGAGGATCGGATAGTGAGGATGAGGAGAAGTTCGTTGAGAGGAGAATGAGGAGAGGATGGGGTGGTGGAGGGGGCACGGCCCAGGCTGAGGAGTAAGGGAGACTTTAGACTCTAATTTGCTTTGACAGTTTTCACTATGTTCTGCTGCTTCTCTAACAAAGCTAAACAAATCTACTTGAACTATTGTATAGTTCAACTACACCTACTGTTGCAGTCTTTCCTCTTGGAGTTCATCAAATTATTAAATTGTTTCTTGTAAACACATCAGAGCATTACTCTGGTGGAACAAGAACTTATACAATAGGGCAGAACTGATGAGTGAGATCAATTTGAGGATGAAGATTGATGTAACTGGAATGAGTAACGCAGAGTGTGTCTTCAACTAACAATGTTTTAGTCTTTCTGGCCTATAGAGCAACTACATTGTAACTGATAGATATTTTTAAAAGAAGTTGGAACACTGTTGGCCCAGTGGCTGTAGCCTCTACACTATACTGTGAGTTACCACTGTCTGATTCCTTGACATCACACATCCAACAGTATATGAAACCAAGCTACTGTGCCATATAGACAACTCCACAATTTGGTAACAGTGAAGGTTGTGTATGAAGCAGATGAAGGTACAGACACCCTCCATGCATAGCAAAACCTCGGGGGGAATCAGCACGTATCATAATGTAGTGTCCTCCAAAAGCACAAACTGGCATGTTTAACTTTCAGTACAGAAAGAGTACAGATCAGACAAACAAATGTTCTGCTTGCTGTTTCCCTCTGCGTGCATGGCACAGAGGTAGTAAGCGCTGTCGCCTCACAGCAGGTTCATGGGCCTGGGTTAGGCTTATGCATTTCTTTGTGGAGTTTGCATGTTCTCCCCTTGTCTGTGTGGTTTTCCCAGGGTGCTCCAGCTTCCTCCCACATACCAAAGACATGCATCTTAGGAATTGAATGGGAGTTGATTGGAGATTCTAAATTGACTGTAGGTGGGACGAAATGCTTTTTGTCTTTACATATTGGTTTGGTGATACGCTGGTGACCTGACCTCTTGCCCAATGTCTGTTGGGATGGATTCCAGCCCCCCCACAACCATTAATGGATGGAGGTGGTGGTAAATTGTGATGGATAAAAAGACTCAAACAATGAATGTCTGAATGAAAGCCTGATGTAATATATCTTGTTCTTCTGTCCCATAAAGCTCCATCAGTGAGCCGCACTGTTGCACTCGGTGACATGTCCCATCGTTACCATGAACACACGCACTGTAGCTAATTTCACTGAGAACCTGACGTCATGATGAATGGTTACCTCCCCCTGTGACCCGACTAGGCACAAAGTGTCCATGCTGACAAAGTTAGCTATCTATATTCAGGGTAGACTGTATAGCTAACATTGAATGTTATTGTAGCCGAAGTCAACATGTGTAAGTTAACATTAAGCTAAATGAAACCACCTATTGTCTAACTATTCTTTGTGTTCAAAGTTGGTTCGGCAAATCTAAGGTTTCATTACAAACTGTCAGGCACCTTCAGGCTCTAAAAACCAGTGTATCTCTGGAGTGGATGGAGTAAGTGTTCGACGATGACCCCTCTGACCAAAATCAAAGACTGTGAATGACATGCTCAGTCACCTGTGTGTGATGATACGTTACCAGTGTGTGTTTGTCTCTGCTCCCATGCTATTATTTCACCTTATTACAACTCACAGCCTGTTTTTACAGGTAGACTAAGTGACGGTTAGA